AAAATATTTATTTAGAGTTGTCTATTGTTCATGATTTTATTATATTAGAAACTTTTTTATAATAGAAAGGTGATGACGGCACTAACATGGGGGTCAAAAAGATATGTTTGTGTAAGCAATATGAACTGGATTCTATTGTCTTTTTCAAATAAAGCTAATAAAAAAAAATTAAAATTCAAAATGCCAACTTTTTAAATCTATTCAGAGGACAAGGTGAAATATTCTATGTTTAATTAATTAATATTCTTGAATGGAGTTGCTTTATTTACGTTAAACAAACTTCGTCACTCTGTTAACCACTTTTAATAGAAAATCACTTCGACAAGCAAAGCTCTTTCCTGTTTAAATGAAGCGAGTGGTTAAGGAGAAAAATAGCCTAGCAAGTCATGCCCCCGGTTCTAGTTCAGGAAACGATCAATGCAAGGATCATACTTCATATCAATCTCTGGTCATGAGAAACGATGCAAAAAATTGGCACCCTCTACCTCCAAAAGTTAGCATTCAGTATTAAATTCAAGAAAATCAAACCCAGACAGTTGGTTTTTGATACAAAGTGTGATGTCATTCTAGATCTTAGTGGGCTGACCTAAGATATACCTAGTCTTGCTATTAAATATGCATTTGTACATGCAAAACATGGAAAAGCATGCTCGTTAGGAGTCCCCAAAGGTTAATGACCTTATTTTTTTTGTATTAATGTCCTGTACATAATTAGGACCACATTTGCTCATTGTCTACCAGAAAAAAGTGCTTCGCAATTTTCTGCGACGGAATTTTGAAATATGTTGTTAATTATAAGTCACACATAACGGGTACTATAAGTCTTCGTCATTTTATATTTTTACGCTTGTCATTGTCATGTACGTAAACACTATTCTCAGCTGTTTTATAGTGAAAAAGTTGCATATTTAAGTAATTTATTTCAATTTCAGTATTTTAATTTCAATCCCGTATTAGATAACTTCATTTATTCCCTCAAAGTCTGTAACCTTATCTGAAATATAATTCAAGTTTAACGATAACACCAAATAAATGCTTTCCTTAGACACACATCTATGAATAATGAAGTTATATACATGAGATGTATAGAGGCAAAATTTTTTACATATTTTTTCAAACAAGAAATTAAAAGGGATAATGAATAAATAAAGCGAAGCAACTATTTTTCTATAGGTAATCTATCTGCTAGGTCACTATGTATCAACATTTCTCTAAATATTCCAACTGAATTCGATATCTATTATGTTAAAGATTAATCTTTACAACGGAGGAGTTAAAAAATGAACCACATTCCTCGAACTTATGTGCAATTAAGAATTGTACTTTCATCTTGTTTTCTAGAGATCAGGTGTAACCCACTCCTATGATATACTTTATGTTTTTAATGAATAGAACCGCGCCCTAGTTGTGGATTTCACAAAAAAATAAAATAAAAAGACATTAGGCCAGCAGCATATAGTTTTCAACTTTAGAAAGTTATCACAAAGTACATGGAAAATATTTCTATGGTACACAGTCACTTGTTCTAGCTGGCTACTTTTCTGTTTTCTCCATCCCACGAGGTTTCAGTCACCATTTCCATACTTGGAATTGTTGGAGTACAATTCACAAGGCAAAGAATCAATTAAGGACAGGCAACTTCATTTTTCAGGCGATGAACCCTTAATTGCTTTAACATTTAGGGGTAGGTCATTTGTTGTCTACTCACACCACATGGAACAGAATCAAAGTGTTGAAACTTATGAAATAAAGGGGAAAAGTGAATCAGATTAACGTTGATAGATTAACACGTACCAGACAAAACGAAAAGGATTTCTTAGTGCACCATGATATCACTAGCTACCTTTCTTTTTAAAGGGATTTACCGTATTTTTATGATTTAACTTTTCTTTGAATTTTTTCAAGTATCCGTACAAAAATAGAATTACGTTAGCACTTACACCAAATGAATTGAAAGTAGAGAAGAAAATCAGGTTTCATAAAGGAATCAATCCACCTGCATAACATGTTTATTATTCTGTACTTGGACAATATTGATTTAATGTCTTTTATGTTTATTGATCATGATTAATGTTGTCTAGTCTAATATATCGGACATGCTACAAGAGTTTTTTGCTCTCTTGTCTTTCATATATATTAAACTGGGCATGTGATTATACTCGCGATAGAAGGAGCTTCAAAATTAGAGTAGAATAAAAGAATGTTTACTTGTCAGTATACTCACGCGGATTAGTTAAATTTTAAATCCAATCTCCATTAATGGTTTTCAGTTTTTCTTTGCGAGTGACTTCATAAGTTAAGTGCTGAACCATAGTGATTAATTCTATTATGTTCTAGGCATCATACTTCTCTTAAACCTCAATTTGAGACTTCAAAACCAACATTAATACACTCACATGTGAAAACTCGATCGATGTATACATGTTAGTATCGTGTGGAAGTAGAAGGTAACATTTTGGCTCGATCCTAGCTAGAATCCATCTGTCCCCTTTCATACTGCACAATTGAATTAATTGTACACAAGGATACATCCTCATCATAACAATTTTCTATCAACTTGAGCTCATTAATGACAGTGTCTCAATCTGCTGGTAAACCAATTTCTCTAGTACTTGGAATATTTTCTTTCTTTTTCTTTTTTTGTTTTTTCAAGTGTGGGACAGATTAATATTTGTATAATTCAAGTGGTGCAAAAAGCAAACCCTTTCCCTTGGCCCCTATAATACACAGACCACACACACAAAAACAAAAGACATCTCAACTCATCCACTTTTGGGCACTACAAATTCACACTCAACCATTCACTTATCCCTCATTCAATCTTCTCTCCACATCTCCTCATCCTCTCTGTCTCTCAATTGTTCTTCCTCAACCTCAACCCTTAAATTTTCTAATTTCTATTCAAGTTTTGATCATATTTAGGCCTATTTCACCATGTCGACATTAGTTTGTCAAAGTCTTGTGTCATGTTTTGAGTCTCAACTGACAGAGACAACAATCCTAAAGATGAAAGTGGCGCCTGCATCTACTATGGTAGACTTGGGCAGGGGCTCCTGCATTTTAGGAAGTGAACAAAACATGAGAGAAAATATTGAAACAGGCGGTTGGAGTTTCCTTCAGAGCCTTTCCAATATTTCAAAATGCCCTAAAGAAGCAATGGAAAAGGAAAACTCATATGTTCATAGAAAATCTTCATTTCAAAAACTAACTGTAAATAGTCTGGATCTTTGTACTGAAAATTTGGGAAGTGAAACAGGTACTGAATGTATCACAGACAGCACCAGCATTTTCTCATTTGAAACATTCAATTTGAGCTGTGAAAATTCGTTGCCAATGGATCAGCGGCAACTAAGGGAGCATCAACAAATGAAATCTTCAAGATATAATAAGGTGAAGACTTGTTCTCACAGTTTTCCACCGCCCTTGACAACAATGAGTGGGTCGAGTTCTCTCCAAATAAGGCCTCACCGTGAAGACGGAAGGCTAATCATCAAGGCGGTCGAGGCCCCATTTAGGCGTTCTTATCTACAAGCTGAAAGAAGCCACGGCCGCCTCAGGCTGTCATTTTTCCAAGATTATGGCTCAAACTTTGAATCTGATCTTATAATGACCACCAAAGAAGAAACTGAAGGTGACAGCCAATTAGATGATGAAATTGAAAGCGAATCAAACGATGGAGATCATGATCTAGAAAAAGAAGAAATTGAATCAGAACAAGAAGATGAAGATGAAGAGGAAGAATGTGATGTTAAAATGAGCCAGGTTGTGGATGTTGAAATGGAAATGGAGAAATTTCACAGGCCTAGCAGGTGCAATGAAGGTGGACATGGTACTAAAGGATTATGTAATTGGAAGACTGCATTTTGGGTGGCTACTTCCTAGTATTTTTGTTTTGGGGTTCTTTTTATGTTTTTCATTTTCGAAATCTACAATTTTAAGTTCGTCATTTCCTTCTCTCTTCACTTAATTTTCCTTTTGTATTTCTTTAATTCGCATAAACTATGATGTTTAAGTTGGCAGTTATTATCGTTATTGGACCATAAACTCTTTTCACCCACCACACAAACCCTCTCTTAAACTTCACATGTTCCGTTAAAAATTCTGACCTTTTCATATGCATTTGAATTTTTATAGTAGAAAAGAGAACTAGAAAATTGAGTCATACAAAATAGCTGCAGTCTGCATCTTGAAATCTTTTCTTCTGAACAAAATACATTGTTAGTTCAGTAATGCAAATGTCCATTTTCTGTACATTGTTCTGGGAATGACCCTTAATCGTGTATGCTAATGTGTAATGCAATATTTACAAAATTTACATGTAGGTTTTACAAAATTTATGGATAAAAGTAAATTTGACCAGAATTGATTAATAAAAAGCACCTAACAATAACACACTTAGCCCTAAAATTTTCATTTTAGAGAGACAAACCTTGTTTTTGTAAGTGTCAAAAAACTTTTTATATATAAAATTGATCATGCTACATGTAAAGAATTTTTTTACCGAATCTTTTACCTACTACTCACAATGGGGATGAGGACCACATTATCGAAATTTTTAAATACACGCGAGTCCCGCACATAGAGGGTAATATATTTTGTACAAACCATTGCGTACATGACGGACTTAAGTCATTCAAAGACCGTTAAAAACAGTCACAATAGTTTTTTATGATGGACATAAGAAAGTTACAATAATGGTTTTCATGACATATTTTCAGTTTTCATGACCATTTTATGTCATAAAAAACCTAAAATTTATGTAGAGTTTTTTTATTAATTAGCACAGGAAAATAACTTAATTTAAAAATTTTATAAAATCTTCTTATATGCATTAATTGTTACATATAGGTTTCGAGAGTTAATTATCTAACAAATATTTTCCTAAAAATAGCGAGAACGTTGAACTGATATTATATTATATTTTCTTTTCTTTTCTTTTCTTTTCTTTCTTTCTTTCTTTATTTTTTTTTTAAAAATGAAACTCGAACTCGAACTGATATTATTATGGAATGTGGCGGTAGGGTTCAGAAATTTGCCAACAAAATTGATCGATTTTTGCACTTACATATATAAGCCTTCAATGGCTATGACTCCAACTTAAGAACATAGTCCAAAAACGAAAGAATTTAATCCAGATGGATGAATAGAGTTAATCATGAATTTTTATTTAAAAAATAATTGTTACACAATACCAAAATTTTATGTGTGTAAGGTTAATTATTAAAATATATATCATTTATAAATAAATGATCATGTTATAAAAGGAGAAATAAGAGATAAAACCTTATTCCCAAAATATCTTTCACTCAACAAAAGCTGCTGCAGCTACAAAATTTCTTCTCTTTGATTGGCTAGAATAGAACCTTAAAGCCGCAAAAAGTTCGATACATGAAACGAGTGTACAAATTATTCGCACACCTAAGTGAACATTAGAAATAGTCACATTTTCATAGTATCTCTCAACTTGATATAGTTTCATAGATTTTCATTTAACTATTTATTAAGAAAATTAATAATGAGTTCATGGTCTTTCAACAAATGTCATGTTGAAAAATATATAAAAATATTTATTAATTAATTATTTCGTTTCCTAACTGCATAGGCTTTTGTTGAACGTATTATTACTTTTTCAAAATTGATTCCATCTTCTACCATATTCTATACTTCTTAACATCTTATTGTTTCCACTGTTATTTGTGATTGAGAATTTGGGTTTACGTGCTTTAGTTCTCATAGTAAACTATTATATGCTTATTGGCGTGTCTGTGCTCTTTTCCATTAAAGCTAAACATTTTGCCAAATTTATTTGTCTTCCATCAATTCAAAAATATAGAACTAAACATTGAAATAATTAAGTTCTGGAACTTCCTCATTGTGTTTTTAGTCCACGTGCATTTGGTTCATTTCTCTGACTATTTGTTCAGAGAAAGTTTAGGACTCAAAGAGCAGTGATTAAGGGATTTGGGAATTCAATTTTCGTCTTTGATCTGTGTGCAATCTCCAAATACTTCTTAAAATGTTTTAGTTAGTAATTTCTTGAAAGAATTTAGTAATAAAACAAAATTGTATTTTATGTACTGAGAAAAATATATTTAACGAAATTGATAATGATATAATTATACGACATTTTCAAAATATAAAAACATGTCAGGAAGAATTATAATTATTTTTGTTATATAATTTGATATCCTGGCTTGTCGCTGTATATATGCATGCCAAATATATCTAGCAGCAAAGATTTGTACCCCAAACCTCGCACAAAATGGGGTCGACAGTATCCTGTCTATTCAGGAATATTTTCACGCGCTTTCATTAAAATGTTCTTACACCCCAAACCCGGACCGGTCCCTGCTGAAAGAGAATACGCATTTGACACTTGGACAAAATCTGGAGAAGATGCCTGTCAGTGAAACTGTGCAATCTGGATGTGTTGCGCGTAATTTTAAAAAGTTGCAAGTTGATTTGTACGAAGCTATAATACATTCACAATTGGACAAGCATGTAATATACCCTTTGGATTTTAATGTCTACTTGTGGTCTCACAAACTATAAACCCTAAACTACGGTTACAAAAATAAAAATAAAACCCTAGCTACAAATTAAGAATATTAAGAATTATGCTACTTGTACATAATTCATTATATATAATGATATCTACATCTTCACATGGAGGAGGATCCACTTCAGATAAAATATAATACTCTCTCCATCTCAATTATATAGGCTGAATTTCCTTTTTCTCTTATCCCAAATATATAGGTATGTTTCCTAATGTAAAATATTTTGTTGTATTCTTTTACCAATATACCCTTATTAAATCTACACTTAATATATCAACTTCTTGAAATCATCCAAATACATACATTTGCTTTTTGAAAACGTAGAACAACTCTCATTTCTTCTTCTTTTTTAAATTTTTTATTAGTTCCAACAATAATTTAGTTTTTTATACTGAAAATTTAATATGGGTAAATTATGAAAGATCTTGGCAAAAATTAAATTTTCAATGACATTAAAGAAGTTTTTTTAATCCGTGTGAAAAACGAAACATGCCTATATAATTATGACGGAGAGAATATATCAGAATTGAGTCCCCCTTCATGTGAGGGTATGTATACCATTAATGTACATTGAATTATGTACATATGGCAAAACCCTAATATTAAATAGAACTAGACAGTGATAAATGATTTCATTTTCTTTCTTTAAATATCGTCCGTGCATCTTCCCACTAAATGTTTTGTAGAGAAATACTATGTGTATAGTCATTAGAGGGGTGTAAAGTTACACCCCTCACACATTAGTGTGGGGTCCACTAATTTTTAGCACTGATTTCACTGTTTCCAACAAGGGTAACGGATGTAAAAAAAGGGGAAATGGTGAGTTATAAAGGTTACAAAATAGGGAAAACTCACTTGTACAGTCATTAGAGAGGTGTAAAAATCAGTGCTAAAAGTTGGAAACAGTGAAAACTAAAAGTTGTTCACTACAAGTGATAGGGAGGGCCTGATCGTGGAGTTAATTCATCCATTCATTGGGAAGGATTGATTGTTTGAAGAATCATGCCACATTGAATGAATATTTTGTCCACTTTTTTGACATAATGTCAAACAGTCCATTTTTGCACCCCAATCTCGTACTAACGTTGTAACTGTCAAATAAGTGGCCAAAATCATCTGACAAATGGCATATGGCTCTGAATAACTCTTTAGAGAGAGAGAGAGAGAATTGATGACAAGTGGCCAGTAAAATATTATTTTCTTTTTCATTTTGTGTGTGTGTGTATTATTCATTGTTTTGTTACAGTATAAACAAACCCTGGAAACAAAAGCAGAGACTATTCTTAGATATGACAAACCTAGTTCAAAACGAGGGCTAATTGCTATTTACTTCATTCATTTTGTCCGTCAGTTCTTTTAGAGTTTGTTTGGGAAGGATTAAAATGCAATTAAAATTGAAAATATAGCCATTATTGGGTTCCACTCGTCTAATAAAAGTCAACTCCAACAGCTATATTTTCAATTTTAATCTGATTTTCAACAGCTATATTTTCAACAGCTATATTTGAAATGTGGAAAAAATTATATGAAAGCGCTCACACAAGTAATTCTATGTATAATTCTTAAGTGTTTGTTTGTTAAGTTGAATTGTAAAGTTTTGGACATTATTATATTTGATAGAGCTTATAAGTACTAAGTTCCACAAAATATATGGATAATAAGTGAGTTATAATTGTGGATCTTATGTATATACTAGTGAGAAGCGCGTGTAAGGCACGTGCCATGATATAATTGACTACGTAATAGCGTAGGTATTTAAAAAAAAATATTTATGTCAAACATTAGTTACATAAAATTTTCTTATAAGTTGGTAAATGTTTCGAGGTAACATTAAATATGGAGATGAAAAAAATCACACCCACAGTTATCGAAGAAATCGAGGCTCGCCTTCCACCACAGTCTCTAGTTATCAAAAAATGTCTTCTTACGAATCCCCGATAGAATAGTCATTATCAATTATTTCATAAATCCTTAATCAATTTTTAAACAAAANTTTGAAAAAATGACATTGGAATGAGATTGTGATTGAAAAGAAATATAACAATCCCGACTTTACGTTTCACAATTAATGTAAAATTATTTTGATATTTAAAATTTATCGATCATATATTTATCATGACCTCACTTCAAATAAATCAAACTAAGTTTCCATATATTTAAAATCATTCAAAGTTGATTAATTAGGGACCCAGGTAATTAAATTAAAATCAATTACAATCCCACTGTAAAAGCAATTAATGTAATTCATCTAGACGTTAAAAATCTTGTACTTGCATCGCTTTCTATTCTCCCTATTTTGTGTTAATTTGTTGAGTATCATAACAAAAAATGGGTTGGTTTAGTTTTAGTACATGGACTTGATTATTATTCTGATTGTCTGTATTAATAATTGAACACAATGGGCACATAAGAAATGATCAAGTTGTACAGAAATCGTAACAAGGTCTTACGTATTGTACAGAAATTTTAAGTGATCAGATTCAACAGAGATTTTAAAAATCAATAACAAGATAAACTTTTACGTTTTAAAATGGGCTCACTGATTTGAAGAAGTGATGTAGACAAGATCTTGCTAACTAGGAAAGATCATAAAATCGGGGGTGACATGAAAAGCATATTATCTATTACCTTCATTAGTAGGTAGTAATTACTCTTTATTATTTTTTAAGAAATTATTTAGTCTTGACGTGGCATAAAGACTTTGAGGATACGCCTGCCTTGGTTTTCTCGCCCGTTATCCAATGTCTACGGAAGGTGCAATATCTTGTCGCTGTTTGACAATCATAATATTTAAATTTTTATTTACACTCGCATTTTTAATTACAGATTCATACAATAAAATATTGTACACGTAAACTCAAAAAATTTTCTTATTTTTTAATCACATATTCACCTGAAAATCACTATTCAAAACTCTATTTTTCCCAAATATTGATTGTCAAACAAGGGCTTTATTTCATTACTAGAAAAGCAATAAAATCGATAATAAAATGGTTAGTGACTTACCAGGGATCACCGAAGCTAAACTTGATAAAAAAAAAAAAAAGGGTAATTACCATAAAATGTCTTTACTTTTTGCAATTATCGTGCAAAACGTCTCCAACTTTCATTTTTTGGCATTTTTACCTTTAATTAAACATTTGATTGCGCAAAACATCCCTATCATCCAAATGTGTAATTAATGGTGAAAATGTTAAAAAAAAATAAAAGATAAGGACTTTTTGTGCTTATTATAATGACCCAAAATTAAAAATAAAAAAAAATAAAAATAAAAAGAGAGAAAAAAGAAAAGAAAAAGGAATGGTGAAAACCAATTGAAATTGAACACTTGCTTAACGCCCGCCCCGATGCCTCACGTCATTAATTTGTCCTCTCTCCATAAATCCTTTTCAGCACTAAGATCCGGCTTTTCAGAAAGTTGTGTATAAAACAATTAAAGAAAAAGTGAATAATTACTGTAATTGAAAAGGTGAAACGAGAATAATATATATTAAACCTTCCCCAACACTTAGGGGGACATATTTTGTACGTTACATTAGCAAGAAAACTAATAAAATTTTAGAAGTCATATCATCATTCATATTATAGACTGTTTATTCAAAATATGGGAATTGATATGCATTTTGACTTATTGCACAAGCAGGCATGATTATGCAATGGACGCTTTTGATTAAGTTAATGGAAAAATAGATGATTGGATCGGTGGACTACTTTGTTATGAAATATGGAACGAATCGATATTAGGATCCTCAAATGTCAGTTCAAACAATGACAACCATCTCGTCAAGTAAATATCTATGCGCATAATGACAAAAAGTATGAGTTTTTATTTACAATCATACTACGAGTACACTAACTTTAACATCAAGTTTAACATTGTATCACGTGTCGACATTACATTGGACAATTTTTAAAAACAACACACTTTTCCGCTAAACACAATTTGAATTTACATCAGGTGTCAAATTTGATGTCAAGAAAACAATGTACAAGAGACTTTATTCTTTTTTGAAATACTGCAGAAAGGGAATCTGCTTTGCTGTTGTATTCTGGAAAAGAGAGAATTTTAAGTCTAAATTAAATGCTGAAAATTTTGCTTATGTTTTTATGAACTCAAGTTTGACAGATTTCAGTTCATTGTGG